ACTCAGTGTTTCTGTCCTTTCTGTGCTAATCTCTGCTGAAGGTGGCAGGTGTCTTAACCAGGCCATCACCTGGTAACCTACTCACACGCTCCAAACACACACGCACACACATTGCCTGCCCTGCATCTCGCTCACATCTCCTTGTCTGCTGGCCATCTGACTGTGAGTGTGTTAGCGTCGTGGCTGGCCGCCATCCAACATCCCCAGCTGGTAGGAGACGAGGAGCAGGACGGAGAGAGAGAGAGAGAGAGAGAGAGAGAGACGAGGTGGAAAAGCAAAAGACGGAGGGAGATTAGAGGTCACCACTGACAGGCGCGGGATTCCACTCCGTGAAGAAAGATGGGTGTGGAACAGAAAACAACCGGCTGCAAGTGTGCGAGTAGCCGGAGGTCATGTGCCGCGCAGTCCGACCGATTCCGGATGAACAGAGAATTATCAAAGGCCCGTCGCTCTGCCCCCGTTATCAGTGTGGCTCTTCTCTGGAGGGAAGCAGACACATAAACGGCCGTCAATCAGCAGCTGCTCCATGAAGCGACCTGAGCCGCAGGGAGGGTTGGAACGTGGCCCCTGAAGATGCATTTTACCCGCGTCGTACGGCTCATTGTGGGTCTCACATTTCCGCCGGATGATTACTGTTTTGTAGCCAGAGTCCTCTTGATGTGTTGAAGTGCACGGTTGATGTGCACTTTAGCTCTTTAGCTCAGTCAGGACACCCACATCGAAGTTGAAGCCATTTGTTGCAACAATAACACACGTTTCGTTTGCGGATCCGGCTCTTCTCTTGTGAAGAGACGGTTATGAGCCAGACAGGGAATTGAATGTACGACTGCCTGACTGAACTTCGAGAGGTTGTCAGCCCGACATCTGAAGAACTGCTCGGATGCTTTATTCATTTGGAAAAGAAAAACAAATAGTGTTTTTCACACCGGTTATATTCATTGTTTCTGAACTCTCTTTTTATCTAGCTTTTTTTCATGTGACTGTGGTTTGCTGAGGTTTAGAGTTGGATTACCTTTTTTTTAAGGCCATAATTTCGGTAATGCCACGTGAGAAAACCGTGTCGTTGATTTAATGCTTCCTGAATGGTGCAATGGTAACGGACGTCCCTCTGCTCCTTCGCCCGTGTGGATGCAGTCAGTGATGGCTGGTTAAAGGAGCGCTACTCATAGAAAGACTGTGCCAGAAAGCAGAGGCAGTATTCAAAATGATTCTTCACAGTTTGCGGAGCTCAGAAACGCTGCAGCAGTCGAGAACATTTACTCCGATAAAATCTCACATATTAAAAAACACAATTAACGATTATTTCTGTAAAGTGGGGCGGCATTGCGGCTACTGTATCAGGAGCTTAAGATGGTCGTGTGTGTGTGTGTGTGTTTGTGTGCGCGCACCAGGCATTGTGCAGGAGCAGCAGCTTCTCGGGTTACTGAGGAATGCATTTGAAGTCAATCACAATGAAGCTCTCTATCTGCCCAGCTAGCCCTGAAGGGGATATCTGAGCTGAATCAGACCAGTCAGAAAATCAACCCAAAAAGAAAACCATCTTTGGGTTACAGACATCAAGCGTTCCTGTATGTGTGTGTGTGTGTGTGTGTGTGTGTGTGTGTGTGTGTGTGTGAAACCTGGTCTGGTGAATTGGTGTGTCTATTAACGACCTTTGCCTCCTTTTGTTACTAGACTTCCTGCATCTTAGTATTAGCTGAGCTCCATGCCCCCTTTGTTAAAACACACCTGGTTCTTTATTTCTCCCACACGCAGGCTGCTAATTGTTACGTAATCACACACACACTCACACACACACTCCGACAGGTTACCAGTCTAATGTCAAACACTCCACACTCGCATATCTTCACTCTGGTCTTAAATTTAAATCTGCCACGATCCAGAGTGGCAAGTTACTATTTGCGAAAACCGCAGCCTCGTCAGCACTGGTGTGAGTTCCATCGTGCACAGGACGAAATGAATAGTGCAACGCACGTCAGCTTCAGATCAAGTTTCTACCTGGGTCACCGCTGAAGTTGCAACCCCCATCAGAGGACGCACCTGTGCTGACTTTGTCACAACACGCCAATACTTAACAAACACAGATTCTATTTCTGCCGCCTTTTTTACCGTCCTTGAATTTGATGTTTCTCCATCTCGTTTAAAAGAAGTATACATAATTATATGTGTGTATATATATATATATATATATACACACAGCCCAACGCTCCCAGATTGTTTTAAAATGACTCCAACTGGCACCACATGTCTTACAATGCTTTGCTTCATATGCTGCCAAAACCCAGGATTGCATTCAATCTGCAGATCCAGTAGAGTACGGCTGTCATCTTACGCTTTCCTTTTATAACAAACGGGAACAAAATGCAGCGGAGTAAGGAAATTGGGGGCAACATACAGGCGTTTTTTGGCCCCGGGTTAAGTGTGCGGTGGGAAGGAGCTTGTTCTGTTTCGTTGTGGTTTGTTAGCTGTGTGGATTGAGACAAAATGCAGAGCTGGCCCTATTCGAATCACTCGAAACACACACACACACACAGGTCTAAGGGGCACCACAAACACAAAACCTGTGATTATATCCATTCCGACACACACACTCTAACTACACGCAGTGACGCACACTTTGCCCACCATTGCGTGAATTGACACGTAGAACATCATCTCATGAATGAAAAATGTGGAGACACAGAGGCTGTTACATATTACTGGTTAAGGTTGGGGTAAACAGTGCAGGGGACTCGTAAAGGGGCCCCGGTGAGGGCTCGGGTGTGTGTGTGTGTGTGTGGGGGGGTCACACCGAGCTATGGGTGCTTGCCTCTAGATAGGAAATGTGAATTTAAGATTAAAAGAAACCAGGGCAAGGACGGGGATACACTGGCACAGGGTTTGTGGATGCAGAGGGGAGACGGAGAGAGGCCGAGTGGGAGGGACAGATAGAGAGAGGGGAGCTGGAGGAGTAGACTGTTTTGATGTTGGTTTTTAGGATTGTTTATTTGACGTTACATAACACCCATCCTTCTGCAGCTGGAGCTCTTGTATGCATGCGAGAGGGTGTGTGCCGATGTGCGTGTGTGTGTGTGTGTGTGTGTGTCTGGTAGCTTCTCGTGGGAAGATGGGATTCTCTGTGAAAGGCAAAGGTTGCCAATAGCAACGGCATTCATTGTGAAACTGATCCTTGGAATACAACACACACACACACACACGCACACACAGATTGGCACCATGCTTGCACCGAAGCGTCTTTTCAGTACTTCTTCAGTACTTCCTAGGTCATGATCACCAGGCCTTCACACACACACACACATACTCACTGTTTCACATACACATTTATTCCCAAAGCGTGATGCACGCACACTTTCATCCTTCCGCTTTGTGAGGCCCATATCCTCCAAACAACTTCAAGTCAATACCATTTTCATGAGGTACATACAGCGTTTCAACTCCACCTCACGCTGAGATGTGATGGACGGAGGTTCTCGGGTTTCTAGATTCCATTATGCTTTTATTGGCTTTTAAAGGCATCGGGTTTCCTGTGTCTGGAGCCGAGGAGGAGCCTCTGCCTATGTGTGTGCACAATTAGCATCACAGTGGCCAGTAAAGACACATCCCTGCAGGGCCCCAGGGTAGCTTAAGATTGCTGAGGAGATAAGGTTGTTTTTTGTTAAATTTGCAGCAGTGCACTGACTGTTTTCCAACACCTGGGGAAAAAGCGAGCTTGTTGTTCTCGGCATTGCGACATTGTACTACTTAGCTCTTTAGTGATCTGAATCTGACCACAGAATTCAGTGATGTATCTTCCGCAGGTAAAACCATACTTGGAAATGTAACTGAGAAGCAGATAAATATACTGAGTGAATGTCAATGACATTCACATTTAACATCGCGAAAGACATCTAAGCAGAGACAACCAGCATCCAATAAGAATTTATTTGCTTGCAAATAACTTAAAATGGACCGTTTTCAGCAGGAGCAGTACTCGTGTCCTGTGGAATGCACTGTGGTGTGAACCCTTTGTGCAGCAGCACGGGCGGTCCCTCTTGATAGCAGTGTTAATTGACCCCTTTGTGATGGGAGAGAGAAAGATGAAGGAGGTGAGTGAAGAGGAAGGAGGGAGCCCGCCTCAAACTGACCAGAGGCCGAGGTCACTCACTTCAACGACTCGTCTCTCTTACGTGAGCCTGACCGCCGCTGCGCTTTCCTCTCACAGTTGTACATGAAAATATGTCTGGATTAAGGTGCAGCGATGAGCAATGATCCGTGAGAGACAGTTTGGCGTTGCAGCTGTGAAGATGTGCAGGAGGAGCTTTTCAAAAGGAGCTTGGTCACGGAGCATTTAAGTCCTTTCTCTCGGGTCACAACGGTTGCGTAAAAATGAGATGAGGACAGTCACACTGCTACCATCACTTTGGACTTGTAGTCTTCTTCACTGTTTCTCTGACATTTAACAATTTAGTGCAAATAGTTGATGTACTGGCTGAACATTTGGTGCCTTTCTCTTTTTTATACGAGCAGAAAATTCAAGTCTTTTGGTTTCATACTGTTGGTTGGACCAAATAAGACATTTCGCTTTGGGATTATCAAATGAGAAATCTTCACTATTTACTAACATTTATAGTCAAACAATAAATTGATGAAACAACTAACTGATTTATGAAATGGAATTGCGAGCACATGAGCCTCAGTTCAAACGCTGTTTCCCCATCTCCTACTTTGCAGGCTGAGCATCACTGTAAGCAGCGACTGAATGAACCCCCTCTTTCCTTAAAAGCTTTGATGTTCCTCTGCCAAAATCCCAGCTTTAGATGAACTCATTAAATATGCTCCTCTATGGAGCCTCGGACGGACAGATGTTGCCCTGTCCTCCATAAAGCTCCCTTCACCACCCGCGCGTGTGTCTGCGTGTGCGTGTAATCTGCCAAAGTGGTTTCTCTATTCAAATCAAGTAACCAACGGCCCAGTTTTTCATGACAAATAACTCTAATCTCTGTCGTCTGTGTCCCTCCCAGGGACAGACCCCGCCTATCGACGACGAGGGCTCAACGAGAGACGAGTTCTTCGACGATGAGGACCTCTACTCGGGTTCCGGCTCTGGCTGTAAGTGTGTGTGTGCGTGTGCGTGTGTGTGTGTGTGTTGCACACTCACACCCTGCTTTATTCAAACCCGACAGCTGCTGGGTTTCAATCTGCTGACCCCAAAGTCCCAACCCCCCACACCCGCTCCGTGTCTGTGAGTTATGGCCGCTCATGTCGCCCCCCCCCCCACTGGCCGCGCACACATTCGCCCAATGGATTTATTGCACCTTTTAAACACAGACACAACCTCACAAACGAACCGCGACCCGGGCAGAAGTTCCCCTACATCTTATTTGCTCTAATAAGATTACAGTCCACACAGATTAGGCCGTTGTGTGCACCTATTTGCGGGCGCATGTCTGCGTTTGAGTGAGCTGCCTCGCCGCGTGTGTAGGAATTACCTACTTAAGCGTAAATCTCGTTGGTGTAGCTCAGCCTGATTTTATGATCTGGCGGTTGAATCCCCCCCCCAGCATGGCACTTCTTATTGAGCATTACTCGGTTAAGGCTAGCGGCGAGCGCGCTCGAAATAAACCAGAAAAATGCAATCAGTTGAGTGCAGATCTATGGCAGCTGCGTCTTCAACCACTGCTGTAACGTTTGAGTGAATGAACCAAAAGCCCGATTACCCCCGGAGAGACCTTTGGGTTGTGACCTATGTTTTTCACTCACGATAGTTTAATCCATGCACTGGCTCTGTGTGGCTAAAAGGCAGTTTTGTAAAGGTTTTTTAGCTGAATTAGCCCTGTTAGCTATGTTAGCCTCACACACCGAAGGACAAACTGGTTCACTTTGTCCCTTTGCCAAGAATCATAAATAAATACATACATACGTGCATGAAATTGTTTTAACTATGCCAATGGAGAGAAGATCAATTCCTAATCCTTAGAGGAACAACCCCACCAGCAGGTTAAGAAGGAGCCACGAGTTAGTCAATAAAGGTATAAAACCCGAGAAGATTTTCAGAGAGTGTGAATCACTGAACTATGACACGCCTTAAGAATACAGTAATAAAGAAACACAACACATATTAGGCTGACGGCTCGGGGAGTGTTTGCGAAATTATCCTTGGACGGACAGGCACACACACAAAAACACACACACACACACACACACACTAAAGCATCCACGCGCAAACAAAATCTCCTGAAGAAAATAATAATTACAATTCAGAGCAGGAGAGTGCAGCAGAAGCACCCAGCAAGGTAGAAGCTGCTCTGCAAATTGCTTTATCTCGAAAGCTAATTTACAACAGACAGATGCATATTTTGTGTCTCCGCTGCGTCAGAGCGATGCATGTTGAGGCGCCTGATAAGTTCAACAGAAGCTACATTGTTCGAGTTCATTTTTCGATATCCTTTCCTACTCCTCTGTCAGCCTTCATGTCTTTGTGCCTGTAAATTCAATTTGTTTCTCTTTCAACCCCAAAGAGCTTCCCTACTATAACAAAATGAAAGGCGGTATAATGCTATTATAAGATTTAAGGAGAAAAAGGATTAGTCTGCACCGTCGTCAATACCTCCTCTCCTCTTCTCTTTTCTCCTCTTCTCTTTTCTCCTCTCCTCTCGTCCAGAGTATCACGTGCATCAACTTCACCTTTTTCAGAAACCAGTATTCTATTCCCATCTTCAGTCGGCGCTTTAACATAAATCTGGTGACGACAGCCCTGTCTCAGATGGTGAAACCTTCGTTCTGCGATACATGTTTGATTACGTTTAATATAGTGTTTGTCATTTACATATTGTGGTCAGGTGGCCAAACGAGCAGAAAAAAGCGGTCTGCTTGCGACAGCGTGTGATGGGGTGTATTGAATTTAAGATGAGAGGAGCCACTGCATTGATTTTACACAAAGAGTGTGTTTTGTATCATTTCTTCTGTAGAGCCTCATGAAACGAAATAGTAACACAGACCTCAAAAGAATGCTACATTGGACATTACCAGCGTTGAGAAGGGACTCGCCCGGGGAGCTCGAGCGTTGCACTACTGGAAATGTAGTTTCCAGCCTTTTTGTTAAGCTTGGCCTCTTTACATATTTTTTTGTGGCTGTGCATTGTGGGTCCCACAACTTGCAGAAGGCCCTTTTGACAGCAGCCATTTGGACACAGCAGGGTCAACACACGTGTATTTCCTCATATGAGGGTGACATTCCAAAAGCTTTCCCCCCAGTGAAAGGAAACACAAAATGCCCGCAGTGCACCGCGCATGTTATAGATCCCAAGAATATCACCCAACACTACACCTGTTATTGATAACACAAGTGTCTGAAATGTTATTTTACACACCAGTAGAGAGTAAATGAGTGAGTGTTTGTTATATAGGGAGTAATGAGCTAATGAGTGTTTGATACACTGCTTGTGCGAGTGTGTAGACGCGTTGTGTGATAAAGGGGATGTGCGAATGAGAGAGACGTCTAAATGGTTTTTTACTCCCCAGCTGGTTGTGTTTTTTAATGAAGTCATTTCAAATCGTCTCTTCTTCTCTCCAGTTCCCGGGATCGGTTCTAAGCCGACATCGGCAGGTGTGTCCTTCACTACGGAAGAGCCCCTCCTCCTCTCCACCACGCAGGCCACCGGCCCCGCCCCCTCCGCCTCACCTGCAGCCGAGCCGAGCCCCAGCCCGGACGACCCCGCCGCCACCCTGCTGCCCCCCGAGGCCGACGGAGAGAGTGGTGTATTCTGGGAAAGGGAGATGGAGAAGGAGAAGGAGCGAGAGAGGGAGATGGAGCGACAGAGAGAGTTAGAGAAGGAGAGACAGAGAGAGCAAGAGAGGGAGAGGGAGAAGCAGTTGGAGAGGGAGAGAGAGAGGGAGCGCGTCCGAGAGATGGAGAGAGAGAAAGAGCGAGAGCGAGAGAGGGAGCGTGAGAGAGAAAGAGAGAGAGAGAGAGAGCGACAGAGAGAACGCGAACTGGAAAGAGAGAGAGAGCTGGAGCGAATCAGGGCCGCCGCCCAGACCACCCCCGCCCCACGGCCCCCCGCGGTGACCACCGTCCCGCCGACCAGCCCTGCAGAGGCCGCGCTGCCCACTGCCGGTTGGGACGACTTGAGCACCACAGAAGAAGAAGAGGACGTCTACCTGCCACCTGAACCCTCACCCTTTTCCCCCGGCTCAGACATGGAAACCACCACAGAGGAAGACATGTCCGCCACAACAGAGACCACCCCCGAGCCCACGACAACCGCGCCATCCACCACCGCCGCCACTGTCAAGACCAGGTGGCCCTTCAGGCCCAGGGTTCCCACGACAACAGCCACTCCGGCGGTGAAAACAGAGCGAACAACGCGTCCACAGCAGCCGACGGTTACACAGGTGAGAGTGACACGCAGCCGTCCCGCCGCAAGAAAAAAACTCAAAGTCAACGCCAGGAGGTAGAGAGTAAACAAATCCAAACCATAAGTGAGCTTCATACATTTACTACTGATGATTGATCTGACCCCGGACACCGGTCGGTACCAATCCACTGTTCAGCTCAATTATTCACAGACCAGAGCCGATTCAGCGAATGCCGTGTTTCTGTTCATTCGCAGTCGTCCCCGAGGGATGATGCTCGATGTCTTTGCGCTCGTCTGGTTTTCCACTTTATAATTAAGCTGCCAGATTTCATGAAGTGTGTTTACCGCTTTGGACATCATGAAACTTTCCGCCGAGCCGAGCATACAGAGGCTCATTGTTTCACCGGAGGAACATGTGCCATGGAAAGGCTCTGCGTTTGAGTTGGTTTGGATACGTTTCAGAGTAGTAGCTCCGCGGAACAAATGTGATTACATCAAATGTAGGTTTCCACTCTTTACTCTCCCTTTTCCTTCCCTTTTACCAGGAGGGTAACAATGAGGCGGGAGCCGCCGAGCCAAGCGGAGACTTCGAGGTCCGCGATGATCGGCGAAATGATCTCGGTCGAGGTGGGAGGCCAGCGGATCCCGATCTGACCGGCAACACGGTGGACGGAGGAAGCTCCGCCGCCCAGCTGCCGCAGAAGAACATCCTGGAGAGGAAGGAGGTCCTGATAGGTGAGAACATCGCTCACTTCCAGAGATGTTTTTTGTTTTCGTCCAAATATTCTATCACGCGGTTCTGCGTCTGTCAGATAAACCACTTGGTAGCCACCTCTTAGATCAACAGATTAGGCTCCCCCGTTGCCTCCTGTGGTCGATCCCTGCCTTCTGGGAGCTGCTGAGATAAACTGGCGTCACCTCGCTTCTCACGTTGTGCAGATTCATCACGATAACCGAATGTGCTACTTGGCCCAGTTTGACCCGTTGAGAACCAGCAATCCTCTTCTTGCCTTATCCAGCTCCTCCTTTTTCCCCATCATTTTCCCTCTGGGTGAATCCAATTTCTTTTCAAGTGGCCCCGTCTCCTCTTCCCAAAGAGCTCGTGTGAGGGACCAGCCAACTTGCTTGACCTGACTGGCTCTCTGTTTCTCCTTCAGCTATTCTGATTGGTGGACTGCTGGCGGTGGTTTTTGCTGATTTCCTGGTCATCGGTAAAGAGCAGGAGGCAACGGGCTTTAGACTAGACTGTGTGTGGGATAGAACCGTGTCATGACTCGTACATCCATGTATAGTGCTGTACATGTGTAGACACTGTATATATCTCTGATATATATATATATCTATATCTTTATCTGTGAAAGTAACACCGCAACAAATACAAGATGAACAGGGACGGGCAGGTACATTTACTCAATCTACTTTCTGTCAAGGTTTGGCAGATCATGAAGGTAAAATAGAAGTCAAGCATTGATTTTAATGCAAGAAATAGTAGGAAAAGACAAGAGTAGGGAATGCTTTGTTACATTATTTCAAATAGTCCAGCCTGTGGATTCAGATATTGGCATGGATGAAATAAGTAAACACCTCCCACACAATAACAAAGCATTCCTCAATCATTTTGGAAACAGGAACAGTTTGTTCTCCTTTTTGGCCTCAAAACTGATTAGTTTAACACAGAATAAAAAAAAATAAAAAAAATCTCATTTGATGACCGCACAAGCCGTTGCACGCAGCGGTCAAATGCAGCTGCTACAGATCGGGTACAGCAGCCCCACATTGGGCGAAAGCGCCATGTAGCGCTGCAGGAGCGGCATTTAACACCAAGCAGTTGGCAACTCGGGGTGTATGTTGGCACATTCAGGCTCATCAGTCTTCACTTAGCAGCTAGGTGATAGGGAGGCGGTGGTAGTTCCGCTCCGCCTTCAGTCTGGGGGTGTTTGATGCAGTGGTGTTGTAGTCTGCAGCAGGCCGTGTCTCCAATGACGCTTTTTTGTGTTTGTTTGAGTGTTTTTTTTAGGATTTGTAATGTTCTGGAAGTTTTTTTTTTTTCTAAGACCTCCACCCTCTCTTTCAGCGGTCATAGTGGGTGGAGTGGTGGGCGCCTTGTTCGCGGCCTTCCTGGTGATGTTGCTGGTGTACCGGATGAAGAAGAAGGATGAGGGAAGCTACACACTGGAGGAACCCAAACAGGCCACCGTCACCTACCAGAAACCGGACAAGCAGGAGGAGTTTTACGCGTAACGCTCCCGAGAGACTGCCAGAGAGACACGCCGCCCGCCGTGGGAGAGAGAAAGAGCGAGAGAGAGAGAGAAAAGAGAAAGATACTCTAAGCCCGCTATACCTCGCCCTCCTCATCCTCCTTTTTTTCTTCGTCGTTGTCTCCTCCTCTTCTGCTCGCCCCTCCTTCTCCTCCTCCTCCCTCTCTCCTCTCGTCTGCGAAACAGTCGAGAGCGCCTCTCTCTCTGCGGACTTGGAACTTTCTTTTCAATGAAAACGAAAAAGAGGGAGAAAAAAAAAATAATCCAAATATATTCTGAAAAAATAACACATACACATGAGATGTTTTTAAAGTGTTGTTATTAATATTCTACAGATTATCTTGTTGTGTATGTGATGATATGATTATTTTGTAAGAAAAACAAAACAAAACACAAGCTCTTGACTGTGTTTTCTGGTACAAAAAAATAGTTCCTCTTCCATTTTTTATGGAGCGATTGAAAAGGCTAAAGCGAGAAGAGAGAGGAGAGGAGAGGGGCGAGCAGAGCGGGACACAAAAGAAAAAATAGAGCGATGGGCTCGACTCTGCACCCCCCTCTCCACCCCAAAAGACACACACAGAGCGTCTGGTTGGCCGCACAGAGCCAGAGGTCAAAGGTGAGAGGAAAGGTCTCTTTTGTGCCTTCCATCCCTCTGGTGCTCAAAGACTCATACGCACATCCACACGGCCACACGAACACATGCGCATGCATACACACACTCTCGCATCTGCTTGAAGGTGGACCGCTCTCTCTGTGCTCGGCCAATCAGAAAGCAGCGCTCGACCCTTGCTGCGTTTCACAATGTTGAGGTTAAAGTTGTGTTTAAGCGGCCAATCTGCTCCTCCAAGCTGTACAAAGACTAATTTCCGGATAGTAATAACAACCAATAATATATCAATGTTTTGGGCTGGATGGTGAACAATAATAATGATACCGTAATAATAATAATAATAATAATAATGATAATAATACTTAACCAGGAGGATGTGTATCTAGCAGGTTAAAAAAAAAGTTTATATGTAAATATCAGCATATCCTTTCTGGCGTCACTAATCATCTGCATGATCATGAAGACTTTTTATTCATCACTTCCGTCATCACCTTAGATGAGCTGTGCTCTCGTCAGCCACATGTACACACACACACTCGCACGCACCCATACACACACTCGCACACCCTCACACGTGCAGATATGTAACTTGTTGTGCATTTAGATACACCACACAGACTTTCAGTGTACTGTTAATCATGTCATTAAAAGACATATCAAGCCCACCATCATCATCATCATCATCGTCGTCATTGTGTTATGAACAAGATCAGGTGGTTTCAATACGTTATTGATTAGTTATCGGTCAGTTGCCGGTTGGTTTCGAGTTTGGTCTGTTTGTGTAAAAGCACAACTTCATGTCCAGTCATCACGTCGTCCGACAAACCCTTCCACCACACCCCTCCACGCACCTTCAGCATGCCTCACTTTCTTTTTCTTCCACCATAGGCTCTCTGTTTGGGGATGGGAGGGGCCTCTGGGAAGCACAGGGGGTGTTAATGAAATACCAGGAAGTGTAAATCCTCACAGAAAGTTGCACACAGATCTGCTAATTCAGTCCAAATCTTTCCTCAGCAAAGCATTGGTTGTGAGAAGCAGAGGACTTTGAATTAGGGCTCATCGGGTCAACTTTAACCTGCTCATTTGGGGAAGGGGACTTTGGGGGACTTTGGGGGGACAGGGGTTCGGTTTTTGGAAGGGGGAATGTCAGGAGGGCTGTGCTTCTATCTAAAAGATTGTAACAATAACCACACCAGTGTGACTGGGCTAGTAGCGTCTATTATACTCAGTACTGTAGAATATAAATGCATGGGAGTCAAAAATATACTAGTCTGGGTGTGTGTGGATGCTCGCGCGTGTTTTTGTGCGATTGAATGCAAAGAGGGGACGAGTTAACGTTGGAATGTACTGTGGTTGAGTGTGTGTTTACCGACTCCAGCAGTTCTCATGCTCTTCCACAGACAGGTAACACACCTCCTCCACTCCTGTGTGTGTGTGTGTGTGTGTGTGTGTGTGTGTGTCGCCAGTGTGAGAATATACATGTATGTGTGTGCGTTTGTACGTGTGTGTCTACACTTCCATCTAAACACGCCACCTGTGTGTGTGTGTGCGTGCGTGCGTGTGTGTGTGCGCGTCTAAGCTTTTCACCTTGGTATTTCACAGCAGACCCGTGTGTACACTGAGCGGCCCGTCGACGTGCTCCTGAGTGTGTCTGCGAGTGTTTCCGTCAGCTCACCGCTGAGCGAGGGACAGCTGGTCCTCGCGGTGGCTTTCACACACACACTGACTGTGTCTTTTCACTGTCCGACTGTCTGCCTGTCTGTCTCCCTGCCGCAGCGCAGACGGGCAGACGACACGCCACTTTCTTCACAGGCAGGAATGATCTTAACACGTACTGTCTTTTTTAAAGTGACCGTCAAAGTAAACATGTGTGTTTGTACCCATTTAAGCCTGCGTAGCCAAATAAGATGTGTGTGTGTGTATTAGAAAGAGGGTGAATTTGTACGTATGCGTGTGTGTGTGTGTGTGAAGCCCAACGGAGGCTACACTACTCTATGTTTGCTGTTCCCATTCCTGTTTTTATACATTTGCATTTTTTTAAGGCTGAGTTTCTGTCATTGGCTGAGTGAGCGAGAGGAGGAGGATCCTCCACGCCACCGCCCTGTCACTAATCTGCCACTCTGTTCCAAATAAAAAACCTGGTTGGGTAAATCTCTCCTCTTCTGTCTTCTTTTTAATCCAGGTGGGTTCATAAAGACCTGTTAGTTGGACTCTGTTACGTTTGGAAAGAGCCATGTTAGCAGTTTCCAGTCTAAATGCTGAGTTGCGGCTGGTATCGACCTCTTACTTTTATTCCCGGCCTTCTGCAGAATGTCAGACTGTCACATTAAGTGCGGTGCACTCACGAGTCGACCCATTACGGCTTTGTTATTTTCCCAAAGACAAAGTTACCAACCAGTACCTCTGTCTTGGAAAAACATGTTCCCAGATTTTCTAGTTGTCAGTTTGGGCGATTTGATTTGACTTCAATTAGGAACTTGCACCACTGTGAGCTCAATTTAAACTCAAATAGACTGCCGGCTCCTGCGACCGTGCAAAAAGATGAGCGTCTGCAGATAATGGGTGAAACGCACATACATAATACATAGTACATTACATAATTAATCACAACAATTTTACAAAGAAGATGATGTCAGAAAAAGCTTTTCTGTATAATATAAAGTGTGCCTATGAATGAAGTTAGTTGCCCTGTAGGGCCTTATTGTTATCCTCACGTGTACCTGTAGTTTCCAGAAGACCTGCTTGTGTATTTTTTTACGCTTTGACTTCGTCTCCTCTCTTCAGGCCCTAATTAAAGCTGCAGTTTTTAAAAAGTCCCTGACTTCAACATGTTTCCTTACCAAACCTCTTTTGGCCATTTCAGAAATAGCAACTGTCCTGGATACCAGTACTTAGATTCCCGTCAAAACTGTTGCCAGCGTGGTCTTTGGAGGAAACCATAGCAACCAGGAGTTTTTGGAGAGACACGTCGCAAGCATTGCAAATGGAATTCCTTTTGTTCTCACTTTTTTTTCCTTCACCCCAGCAGAAGAAAAAAAATCCCCGGGACGGAGATCTCAAAGGATATGAGCGAGAAAAAAAAACACAAGACACCAGCATGTGGGTTACCTTTGTGTGGGCTGACGCTTTGGAGTCTCAGGCCACCGTGGCTTTGACTTATCTTCTTCCTAGTGTTGAGCTGAACTCAAACATGGAGTCTGCTACGTGTTCATCACTCAGATTTTAAAAGAGGCTGGTCAGAATGGCAATATATTCTAGCAGCGTACATTCTAGGGAACTTGCATGCGGACATGAACTCCCGCTTGGGTGTTATCACACACCAGCAGCTTGGCCCTCATACCGTTTCTGACCCAGTAATACTACACGCTCTCTGGCCAAGCTACCGTGTATATATATATATATATATATATATATACACATTTGTGTGTGTGTGCTTAGTTATATGTGTGATTACAGCCTCTTAACAGCCTATTTGCACTGGCTGACCTCAGTAGGCCCTCATGGGAGAAACAGCCAGAGATTCTTCTTGAGCCATTGCATAAAAATACACTTATGAAGTGATCAGATAAACTGTCTGTGGGGATTCAAGAGCACACGTAAAAAGGAAAATATTCTAAATGGGGCTTCAGTTTATATTATCTGCATCAAAAGCAGATGAAAACCAAGGTCACCTGGTGCGGAGGAGGACCAGGGAGTCTGCCCACAACCTTTCCCCGGATGCCGAGAAGATAACGAGCCGTTCTGCTGTTGAGTCGTTTGCTGAAATGGAAACATGCCGCTCACAGGGGAGGATGGGGGAGGATGGGGGGGTTTATGTGAGCAGTTTCTGCTTGGGAGGGAGGAGTCGAACAGCAGAGTTGGGGTAGACAGAAGAAGATTCAGGTGCCTGGGGTCCAGTCAGTACCCCATCTGGTGGGTAACTGCGGAACAACCTGGTTTTAACCTGAATAACCAATGCTGAGTATCTGCAAAGCATATGTGATAAACGGTTTAGTCAACCTGCACTGCTCAAAACACATCATAGTACGAATTAAAGTTAGTTAATAACCAGAATCATTTTATAGTGATGTGATTAATGTGGCATTATTATTTTTAATGGCAGGCTTCATTGATTTTTCATTTTTATTGGGCTACCCAGTCTTACAGAAAATAGCTGTGATAATAACAGTCAGCTTCATTGAGATGCTCCACACACGTCCCAGCAGGATTAACATAATTATGGCACATTAAAGTGATACAATGGAAGCTATCGAGAAACCAGGGTAGCTTTCCCTTTTTAAGTTACGCTACAATCTTCTCACACATTGGCCTCGTAAATATCAATTCCACAATGTAAAAGAGTCCATTACAAGATGTAAGTATCAAATGTAAAAGAAGTCCTGCAAAATAAGTGGCACTGTGCAAAAAATATAATCCTGTTATATTAGATTTGTTATACTGATACTAATATCAATGCACAAGCTGTATTGGATTGTATTGCTGTTCAGGATGAAGCAATCGTCTTAAATTGTACAACTTCAAATGGAGTTTAATATTTTATGCAATGGTTGTAGGTCAGCTATGGCCCGAAGTTTGGACTCCAGCCCCCCCGTGTGCAGGATAAGCAGTTTGCAGATGGATGGATGGTTGTAGGTCAGGACACCTTCATGCAGTCACAATCAAATCTGGTGGATTGTGAGATGATTAATGGGATAAAATAAACTTGATGAAACACTGAACTTTTCTTCAATCTTTGCTGTTTTGTTAAACATGTTAAATGAGATCAGACTGCTTTACCTTTTTTGTCCTTTCACTGTTGTTTAAATGAAAGCATATGGTTTAGTGAGCAACTTATGGACATCTGTCTTCTCATAGATTTTCATTTTTGATAACGTCTTGTATTCCATACATTTATTAAATGTATATAAATATGTATAAATATATAAAAGCTTAATCTGATAACTATTGACCCATTCTTTTCACTATTTCAACACAATTTTTAAACAAATTGACATTGTGGAGTCGACATGGGTACAACAATCCAATAAAGATTATAGGTGACAGCTTTGTAAAGATTACTGGTGCTTTATATTTTAATAGATTTTTTGTTGCTAAATTGAATGAATTGCTGGTTTGATTATCAACTAAGTGCATTTATAAATATTCATTGATTCACTGAAAGTAACAATTACATTAATTTAGTAAATAACAACATTCAGCTCTTCTTAAATAATGTAAACTGGGGGTAAAGGGTGACCGTCTGTATTGACACATTGTATCAGACTGTATCAACAGATCCGGGTCGGAGCGGTTCTGGTCGCTGATTGGCTGTTTCCGGTTCAACCTTCACGCGATAATTCTGCGTCACACACCGCTGAGGGAGGCTAATCAATCAATCAGCCTCATTAGCCTCCTACCCAGCAGCAAATCGCCTCGTGGCCGTGAACCGCTTAATTGATTATTAGTACAAGTTTATTGGTTTTGACTGTCGCAATGGAGAGGGACTGTGGCGTGGCTGAAGATTTTGGTAAGGCCAGTCCAGCTGCCTTTTAATGGTTTTATTGGTTTATTGGCTCGCTCCGGCCATTTCCCCCCATCTGTCGACTCAAGACTTTTGTTATGAAACTTCTGTGTCATTTTGCGAACATTTAAAGACTTTTAAAAACGTCCCGGGTGCATTTAAGGCTGCTAATCTGTCCTGTTAGGTGCAGCTCTCTGCTCCACTGAGACAATTTAAGAATTAAAAACTCTGCTATTAACATTCTCGACCCGGTGTCGGTAGATGGGGGCAGGTTAGCCGCTTTAGCTGCTGCTAGCCGCCCTGAGTTAATTAACGTCAGCGGGCAGGTGAGGTGGCTCGCGCGACTGCACAGCTGGGAAACTAATTAAGTCACTGCAGGATGACGTTCCTCGTGCTTATTAAATCTGCAGGTCGTCGCATGACTCATGCAATATGAAAGATACCACTCACGACATTTTCAGTATTTTTGTAAGTGTAGGCACTTTTTCAAGTTTCTTTTTAAGTGGTTGTCTGTGGCCCCCAAAATCCAGAAAGACATTACTGTGTTGGCTGTTAAAGTCATTGATTGGAATATATCTGTCAAATGGGCCTGCACCAAAATGATTTTATTGGGCCCATAACGACTATAACTATCGACACTTGACTCCAAACCTCTCAGCGCTATATTTACAGAATATATCATATTATATAACGTTGCGCTGAGGAAAACTGTAATGTCCTTTCACATGAATATTAAGTAGGGAACAAAGAAGATAGAAAATAAATATACCAATAAAATAAAAACAACGCAATAAAGGGAAAGCTGTTGCTATTTCTATATAAGGATATAACGCACTCCATTAAAAAGGAAACTGAACAATATATTTTTTGAGGCTGCTTTTAAAAGTAATTGGGAGTCCTCAGGGAGGCTTATTCAGCAACTGGGAGCATTACAACTATAGACCGCCTCACAAAGTTTTGAATTGATTCTTCAGCAAGGATAAAAGAGACCGTGGGGAGGTTTGTTTGGTTCTTTTAACGTGATATTACTTATTCTGCAGCAAATCAGCCGATCAGTAAACCCTAAAGTCAGTACCAGAAGCGGATTTTGTAATTTAACTGCTTGTCTAATGTGTTTTTATTTTTTTCTCTTAATTCATATTAGAAATCTGGCAGCTGCATTCCGGTTGTACGATTGCAATGAATGTTCTTTAGGTCATTTTTCATTAAAGCAAAGTATTTTCGAGGCAAATGAGAGATAACCAACCCCGTGTTATCTAAATGAAAATGACAACTCTCACTTCACTCCATTGCAGACTGTTCACGCCTTCTGTGTGAGGAACTGGAGGATTTGGAAACAAAGATTTACCAGAGGAGGAGGACAAGGAGGTGGCAGAGGGACGGAGGGGAAGAGGAGGAAGTGTTTAATCAGAGAAAGGATGAAGAGGCAAGAGTGGAGGAAGGCCGAGAACAGGGGGGTGAGGAAACCGAAAAAGTTGTTGTGTCAGAAAAGCAGCGGATGGCGGCGGAGGGAGAAGAGGAGGAGGCGGAGGAGGAATACACTTATGTGGCTGAGGAGACCCAGGAGGTTCAGGTGGAACACAAGGTTGAGAACATCAAGGAAACAGTCGCTCAAGAGCCAGAAGACAAAGATACAAGAAGTCCAGAGAAGAGCACCGAAAAGAAAAAGAGTAGGAAGCGGCGAGGGAGGAAGCCAAGTGAGCGGGTGAGGAACAGGAGAAGTTTGAAAGATGTCAGCGAGCGGTTCGTGGAGGAGAAGGAGAGTCGGACACAGGAGGCGTCAGCTGTGAATTCAGAGGAGAGGTCGTCTCCGTCGGAGCCTCCCGTTGGACTGATTGGCAGCTGTGACCTCTCGGACCCAGTCGACCTGGCCTATGAGGGGACGGGGCCGCATTTCCCTCTTCCCCCGCCGTACTCCTCCCAGCCGCCAGCCTCCATCCAACCTGCACCTCCTCAGCCCGACGGGACAAAAAGGCCACACAGCCCTCTCCCACCTGTCCGTGTCCACCAGCAGGGCCTACAGCCGCTCGAGGTGAGAATAGAGGGACATGGTTCATCAATCGCTGGGAGCTAACGGGGAACCGTGTTGTACCGAACCTCAATGTAATGATTGCAGTCCAAACGCGAGCACCATCAACTGTAGATGTAGACTGTGGCTAAAGCACGCCACCCGGCTTTATGGTCTATTTTACTCTAAATAAACCATCATTTAAAAAATGAACATCAAGCTGTGTTGGAGAAGACTTAAACGAGAGATTTACACTATAAACTTGTGTTAATAATGCCTACTGAGGGTAATAAGTAAGATGAGAAGAAGAGTCATTACTACTTTTTGCATCCGCAGGAGTCTCCTCCTGCTAGCCGGTAGAGATAATGCAGGTTTAAGAAACTTCCTCATTGAGCAGATGCTGTATCATCTGTGAATGATACAGCATTTTCTTAATAAAGAACATATGAATTACGTTCTCTAAGGTGTGAAGGGATTTATGGATCATTTTTGAGGATTAACAAAAAAAGAAGACATTTTACTATTAATGTTCCGTTGAGACCGGCCCACTCGGTAATATGTCATCACACTTACATTTATCCCGCATGGACCCGTAGTGTCTCTGTGCTGGTGCGGTTCTCTAACTTGCCCAATAAAATGACTTTGGGAGAATTATTTTCAGACATGTTGGCAAATTCTCCAGATTTGTTTATAATTACTGTGAAATGTGTATTTATCATGCATTCCTACAACCTTAATGCAATATTAATGACGCAGCTGCGAAAATGGCAGACTAGATCTATAAATATATGTATGTATGTATATACTCACACATGGATAACACTTGGCATAACAACAAGGAATTTCATTTACCCAGATTTAAAAGCTCAACTTCACTCTACAAAAAATAATTAAAGACAAAAGCAAACTTGAATCTTGAACGGGCATCTTGTTGCATTAGATGTAAGTAAAGTGGGGCTGAAACAATTGTTGATTGACTGCAAAAGAATCATCTTTTGTTGAAGCCTTTTCCAACCAAAACTTTTCTCCTTCCCTGTTTTCCAAAATGTTGAGGATTACTTTTACAAGGTTTTGCCAGTGTCACATATGAGCGGTACACGGACGCAACCGGAAATTAATTAGGTATTTTTTGACTTTCAGAAAATCCCTGTTGCTTTTCATTTTGTGGGATAAAACTTAACGCTGGATTTATCCTCAGAGAACCTGTGTTGTTTTGTCTAGTTGGTGTTTGAAATCCTCACTGTGCTCAGCTCTAAATGTATTTGGTAAATAACTGTCAGAGAAGAAAAATCTTATTTTTCAGAAAATATGCAATAAATCAACTATTTTCCTTTTTGAATTTGACTGAGCTAAGAAAAGCTTTATCTGGTTCATGGCAGATGGAGATAACGCAGGTCTACTCCACCCGACGCTCCATCCGCTACAGCAGCAGGGGACAAGGCCGCGCTCTAAGCGTCCCTCTGCTGCCGGGATTAGAAACTGTGGACAGCTGCATGCTTCCCCCTGCACCGAAGAAGAAAACTCGAACGCTCTACAGTACCGGTAACCCTACTGACCGCTTGGCCAGGTGTGCTCAGATTTAACTATGCAAATAGTTTACCTTCACTTTGTGCATGTGGGTTTTTTGTGCATATGCGTGCAGATCAGTTAGACCACTTAGAGGCCTTGTTCCAGGGGGACCACTATCCTGACGCAGAGAAGAGGAAAGTCATCGCGGCTTCAGTTGGTGTCACACCTCAAAGGATTATGGTTAGACTCTTTGACGTTTACGTGCCTCCTAGAAGAAAGTAAAATGAGCAAACAGGGAGTGATGTTTCCCGCCCCTCCGTTCCGACATCCCGTTTCCTTCAATTTTCCTGCACCATCCTCTGTCGTTTTCACTAAAAGCCCTTTTGTTGTCTCTCTCTGCAACATTCTGTGAACCAGGTCTGGTTCCAGAACCGCCGGGCAAAGTGGAGGAAGGCGGAGCGCTCCAACACTGCAAGGGTTGAACACCGACAGAGCAAAGCTGGATGCAGCAGCAGCCCCACACGTCACCACATCAATCCCACCCTGCCCTCACTGGCCCCCAACAGGTCTCATGCCCTTAAATGGTGCAAATTACATGTATTTAAACATGTTGATGTGTAGTAAGCCATGTCTTTTCCTCTTCTCCAGTAAGGGACCTTGTTTTTCCAGTCACTGTGCCACTAGGCTGCCCCAACCCGCCCCAGCAGCACCTGTTTTCCCCAACCTGACCAACCAGACTCCACCCCCCTACAGCAACCTTCTGGCAAGCCTCAACAGCCCAGGTGTTGAAATCCACTAGCAGTTACGCAATTATTTTCGCAAATGTACTGCTCATAATGAGGTCATTGTGCTCCACATTTACTATTAAAAATGATTTGAGTTTCCGAGGAACTGTCCTTTGGCACAAACGTCACAGACGTCAAGTCTTCCCGTTCTGAACCACCAGCAGGTGTATTTCTAAGGGAAGCAATCGCTCTGTGCCGTGAGAGTTCGGCTTTGAACTCCGTGGACCTTCCCCCTGCATGTTGAGATTGTACAATTCCCAAGAAAGCAGACCAATGTTTTATCTCTTGTGTTCTCTCCAAGGTCAACTCAGAGGGAGGGACGTTGGCCAGCTTGCCCCTCAGGGGGGGTTGGCAGAGTACCACCCCATGCCGAGCCCTCCCCCCTTGCGTCGAGCCAGTCTCCCTATTTTCCCAACGGCTTACAACCCTGCAAACCCAACTCCTCCTCCTCCGCCACCACCTCATCTCCTTAAAACACGGGCTCACACCCCACCTCTGTTTCTGGACGCTCTGGAGGGGGGCTCCGCATTGCCACACCGCGACGCCCAGTCGCTGCAGACCGACACCTGGTCAGTTCCACTCACAGCCGACTGCGACATGAGTACTAGCGCATGATTTGATTTGAGCGGGGACCTGGGGTGCACGCGATGACAGAGGCTGTGGAACAGGAGCAGAGAGCCTGTGAAATGCTGAGATAATGATTCCTTAGACAGCCGCTGCAATAGAGGGGAGTCTGTTTCAGCCAGTGTTGAATATTTGTGAAATCATTAGAGACAGAATGTGTTTGTTTGACTACAATGATGAATCACAGCACTAAAAAAGATCCCTCCCAATGCAAGACGAGACGAGACAAATAACAAACCATGAATGCTAAGGGACTTAAAAGCTCAGTTCTCCCAAATGAAAAATCGCCCTTGTAACTACTCCACAAAGATTTTTTGATTGCTTGACAGTCCTGTTCTCTAGAGAAATGTAATGTATCACCTTTGGAGGACAGTCAGGTAAAGATGAAGGGAAGTACCTCTAGTAACAGACTATATATTTATAGGTGTGTGTGTTTGTGACCAGGCTCCTCCTTTGTTTTGTCCTCAGTTCTCTCTTTGAGTTTGGGGAGAAGTTTGACTTCTTGACCTCAGGCCAGCAGAACAACCCCCTCTCCTACCAGCTGCAGACCTCATACTCCTCCACCCAGCACCAACCTCAAGCATCTCTGCCCTGCATGACCTACCTCACCCCCTCCCCCTACCTCCCCCCCAACCCTCCAGAAACCAACCCGACCTCGTACCTGACCTTTGGCCCCGGAGGGAACTCCACTGGGATGGTGACCTACTCGACCGGAGGCCACGCGTACTTTCAGTCGCAGAGCACCGGACAAATACTTCTGCAGTCGGCCGGTCATCACGGTTAGTCTCCTTTTTTTCTTTTTTTTTTTACAGCACCATAAAACAATCCAATAAAAGGGGTTTGTTTTTTCTTTTTTTACTCTGTTGATTTAAACTGGACGAGAGTCATATCCATCCTTGGAGGTGCTCAGCGTCTAGTCGTAGTCTGCTCCGAAAAGGAGCAATACTTTTTAGCTCTATAATAAATAAATAATATAAATCTGAATAATATCAATTGTATTTATTTAAGCATTTTCACTTTTTTGCTTCATAAAAATGAAAAGCTGCCGTTATGCAGTATTCATCCTAGGCGCTGGGACGCCCCGGTAAAAGTGTTTATTGAATATTACACTTATGGGCAGAGATTGGCACATGAGAATGGAGGCTTACGCAGGATGCGAACGGCTTTGGGGTGAGACACAATAGCTGCTAGGCTCTGGAGACGCCTTGGGGATCAATGATAGAGCAAAATGGGGGAGTCTCAGAGAGGCACAGAAAAAACGGGTATGGTGGCAAGCAGAGATTTTAAAAAGTATGACAGGAAGTGGTGTGTTTGAGGCGTGGTCCTGCTCCTGAGCTGTATTACCTCTAATCCAGCTCAGTTTTATCATCCCTGTGTGTTTTTTTTGCAGGGGGGATCGCCGCGTACCAGTCGTACCCGTGGGGCAGCATGTACAGTCAACCAGCCCTCCACCAGCGGACTCCGTGCCCTCCAATTTACCCCGGCAGCTTGGAAGGTGCTCGAGATCACCAGCCCTCCTCCACCACCCTGCTTCCGCCTTCCTTCTTCGCCCAGGGGGATCAGGGCTCCTCGCATGCAAACCCTGAATGCTCATCTCACAACCATACGCACAACTCCACCACCAGCAGCACCAGCAGCAGCACCGTCCTCCCCCCAGTGTCCTCCCTGCGGCCTTCTCGCCTCCGAGCAGAGATCACTCCGGCCAAAGCTGCCTCCCTGCTGTCTTCTCAGGTCAGCCCTGCCTCTCCAGACAGCTCTCCGGGGCCCCCTGGTGCCAAAATGGAGTATGACAGCCCTCGAGAGATTCCCAGCCACTTCCACTGCGAATTCTCCCCCATACACTTTTGAATACATGCATGTTTGTGTGAGAGAGTGTGATCAAGGTATTGGTGTTGATATATCCTGTGTAAATGGGAGTATTTCTGTATTTGTATTACTGTTAGGATGTCGTTAGTAGAAATATTATAAGTTGCCTGGGCTGCATTTAGCTCGGCTGCAATAAATGCACATTGTTCTGTCGATATTTTTTTACTTTTGCGTTAAACTCTCTTGATTTAAATCAGCAGTCTCCATCATATTATTATTCAACATATCATTGCACCAGGGAACAGTGCTTTTATTGAGTCAATTTAGTTACCAGCCCGACCGAGGGGCGTGGGAGGTGGGTTAATAGGCGAGTGTAATTGTTTTCCTCATCCCCATCAGTATATCCACTTGTGTTCACAAATCATAAACATTTTTAATTAAGTTTTTTTAATCCAGTCACACCCATGAGCCTTGATTACAGAAAAGAGTCTGCACAATTATGCAGACGTTACAGAAGTTTTACATTATATAACTTTATTAAATCAACTAAATGTCAATAAGAAGAAAAATAACTCACTGAAGTTGAAGGGTTAATTTAGAAGCTTTGCTTTCAACAGCCCCGTAGTTAATACCCTTTTTGTACATGATGAAAAGGTTCTGTATAGTTACTACACAGATGTATACAGGCGTTTAATATATTACACTAAATTATGAACTATAGTTTTCTTCAAATGTTACCATTGAGTCTTGTTTGCTTAACAGTCCACGGCCCCGAGGCGGCTCACCGCTGACATGCTGCTCATTTGTCTTCAGGCCACTTGAGAGCGCTGTTTCGTCACGACAGACGACCGCCTGCCGGGAGCTATTTTGACAGCATGTCAGGTTCTCGGACGCGTGCAACAGTCACTGATCCGGTGGAGGGGCGAGCGGGCCGAGTCCTCTCCAGAATGGAGGTATCAATCGCTGATACAACCCAAGTCCTTAATCGCTGTTGCCATTTGCGGCGTCCTCTTGTTTATTCTCCTCCTCTTTAACGAGCAGAAGGCATCTTTCTCTGAAACAAGCAGAGACGACGGAGACCATCGTGGCATTTCCCCTCTCAGTAGTGCAAGGAAAACCCCAAACGTTCCTGATTTACCTCTAGTTAGTATTCCTGTTTCGCGCCGCTGCTTTGTGTAAAGTAAAGATTGAAGTAAAGCTTGGATGACGATGATGTGGGAGGAAGAGAAGGAACTCTGGAGGAGGCAGGGACCAGGGGAGCAGATGAAGGGGGGAGTGAGGAGGGAGGGGGGGGGTTCAGTGTGTCTCTGGGAACAAGGGAGGAGAGCCGAGATGAGCTGTTGCTATGGCAGGAGGAGAGGATGATGGTTGGGCTCTGCCAGCAGGCGTGGGAGGGGAGCAGAAGATGGGGATGAGGGAAGAGTGCTTGTAGCACGGGGGGGGTTTTGGGAGGAACAGGACTGCTGGTTATGTAACTGCTGTATTTGGGTTTTTAATGAACCGCTCTCTCTCTCTGCTCACTGCCTACTGAGCTGTTACTGTTGGCAGGAGACATGCAGCATAAACACACACACACACACACACATAAAAAAATCATTTCTCAAAGTCTGTTCCATAAAGAAACACACCACACATTCATTTCAGGAATGAAACCCGAGTGTGAGAGCTCTTTTCAAACCTGCTGGAACAGAACGTCTGCGCTGGATTTGGGGTTCTGTCCTTGTTGACGTGACGCTGTGTGTATCCGTCCCTTGTGTCCCTCGGCACGTTTCCATCTTTCTCCCTTTCTCCCAGCTTGCACGTGTGACTGAGGCGGGTTTCATGTACGTTTAACTCTGCAATTAATTTTTCCAGGACTTGCATGTCGTGAACAGAGAGTGCTCAGATCACAGCCGTAAGAACATACACACGTGTGTGTGTGTGTGTGTGTGTGTGTGTGTGTGTGTGTGTGTGTGTGTGTGTGTGTGTGAGAGAGAGAGTGGGTAAGCACACGTATGGGATGCTTCAGTCCAGCCCGATTCCACGTGTCAATATTTACTCGGTATTCTGAGATTTGAAGAAAGGGAACTTGTTTCAATATTTATGGATGTGGTCAAACACAAAGTCATCACAGTATGTCCAAACCCTGGGACACACACACACACTCTGCTTTGATACAGTCCAGTGATGGAGTTTGTTGACATTAATGGATCAAGTTGATTGATTTAAGTGATTGAAAGTAATACTAGTAAGTTAGTTGCAAATAATAACAATAGCAATAGTAATAATGTCTTTTTGGTTCCTTGGTTCTCTGGTTCTGGAGGCATCAGGGGGACGAGCTTTAGTTTGTTTTGTAAAGATACAACAAACAGACTTGGGTTTGGAGGAACAGGAGCCACGAGGGAGAGTGAGCAACAACAAATTACTGGATAAAATGAACAGACTTGAGGCTGTGTGATATCTCACCTCATTATATGTTGATGGAAAGAGTTTTTTCTGAGGGTTGTTATTTTGGAGTGGCCTCGTGTAAAGATGCCTAATGGTATGCAGTGTGGGAGTGATGGAGGGATGTGTTTGTCCTAGACCGTTTCCACTCACACTATGGGATGGCAGTGCCGTTGTGATGGATCGCCTCTAAATCGAGCTCCCCGCGATGGTTTGCCTGTTGGCAGTAAAAGGCGTCTTACGGGAACATTTCCTTTTTCAGTAAAAAGCAAATATGCTTGTTTTTATATTAGATTTGATGGTTTGCTGGAATTGAAAAAGTAGAAAATATCTGGTGCTGGGCTTGTAGTACATTTGCTGAAGTTGTTTTGTGTCAGTGTCAGACCAGTATATTGGTTCTAAAAATTATGGCAATAATCAACACAGGACCAACCTCAAGCATTGACAATTGAGGGCTTCAATAGATGCTTTTTAAATTATCGATTAATATGCAAATTACTTTCTCCACTGATGATTGTTTCAAATTTCCCTAAAAAATCTAATCTTCTGACTGTTGGTTGGACAAACAACGATTTCTTGTTGTTATTATAATTATAAATGATAAAAAATTATCCCAATATTTTCAGACAAATGGAGGACTAAAGGGTTCATTGAAACCTCATAATGTAAGAAATTTTCAGTCAGGCCTGCTCGTAAATTTAAAATAGACCACTAACAACAAAACCGGGGGATTCACACACAGTGCATTGATATTTGGATCAGTTAGTGACGACGTCTCATCACCTCGTTGCCTGAACATTTGCACGTGTACGTAGTCAAGAAGTCCATTATCAGAGAAGAAACGCTGTCCAGGAACAACATCTTGAATCTTTCATGTCAAACCAATCACCATTATAACATGCGCACACACACGCACGCACACACTCGGTTCACTAGGGAACCTGTCTGGCCCGTTACTGTACAGCCTGAGCCCCAACTCCTTTTTCCCCGCCAGACTAGTCCCCTCAATTGCGGCTTGTTCAGGTTGTGTGTGTGTGTGTGTGTGTGGATGTGTGTGTGGAGGAGAAGGAGGAAAGGGAGGTGCAGAGGAATGCAGGCTTTGGTCGGGTGGAGCGGCATGTCGGAGTGAAAAGAGGGGTCTCTGTTTTGTGTGTATGTGGAGTCTATAGAGAAATGATGGACGTGTATGCGAGTATTGATGAAGTTGTGTGTTTTCCTTCTGTGTTTACTCCGCTGGGACCCGCCGCCCACCCGACAGCGGAGAGGAGAGTAAGTTAAATGCTCCTGGAGGCTAAATGTGTAAATCTTACAATATATGAAAGCCACTGCTTTCCAAATCATAGGAAGAAAGACGAGTGATGGAGAAACACAGAATGTTGTGAAGGGTTCAAGGAGCTGAACTGAGCTGAACTTAAGGAAACAGGAATCGGGGTGTAGACTTCAGGTTATAGTGAAATGCATGCTTATGCAAAAGAATGCACACACGCTTCCCAACGTGCGGGAACACTGCGGCCTGTGTACGGCGGCTCTCCTTCACTTCCGCACCATATATGTGTGTTTGCTATACGAGGGGAACGCGGGGAGAAAAGAGGAATTCATGTCGGTGTTTATTTGAGCTTTGGCCAAATCCAACCTGGGGCTGCGTTGGCGGGCAGTTTGCCTCAAACCCCAGCCGCTCCTGTACCTCCAGCTACACACACAGATACTGTACACCGCCAGGTACTCTCTCTCACACACACACAAACTTGTTCATCATAGCCATATCAAGGTGTGTTTGTCTTTCCTTGCCCACCTTTTTGGCTCCTCCTAGAGCAGGTATTTCCCTCTCTTACCCACGTGCACACACACACACACACACACACACACACACACATCCACTGCGGCTACAGAGGATGGCAGGGTGGATGGTTGGGGGGGGGGGTCTGTGGGCTGAGTGTGTGAAGCACTTGCATTGATAACCTGCGACTCAGAGTCACTCAGTCTCACTTTGTGGACGTCCCCTTCGCCTGGAAGTCCCTTCGCTCTGCTCCGTCTCCCCGTCTGCCTCCTTACTCTCGGCCTGTCGGCAGACCCGCTCGGACTCCTGTTGCCATGACGCCCACCCCGCCGTTGTTCCTGCTGCTGCTCTGCCTCATTGGGGCTCAGGCCACCGTGGACCTCCGCACGGCCGCCGCCATGGGTAAGAATGACAACCTTTGACTTTAGATGTTGGTTTCAATGCGAGTTGATGGGGACATTTGACATTTGACGCTTTGGTTTTCACTCCTCATTCTGAAAAAATATGTATCTTCAGTGGACGGTAACCTTCAGAATTAAAATATGAGTTTTAAGTAAATACTTCACTGTATACAAAGGTGATGGCGTTTTAGAAAAATATCTATCTGGTCTGAGCTCCTTTGTGTCCATGAAACCGATGTGTGTTAACCTGCGGAATGGTTTACATTTCCAGGGGTTCCAGGGAATTAAACAAGTATTTATTTCATTGTTTTAAATTGAGATTTACAAACAAATATAATTCCCTTTCACTGTCTCTAGGCATTTATTGATTTAAAGTGAGTGACTTGTAGTCAGTCAGTATTAAAGACATAATTTAAAATAATTTTTAAGTGTCTTTTTGTGTTGTTGAAGTTTGGATGAAGTTTGGAAGTGCTGAATGTGTGTGTCTGTGTGTGTGAAAAAAGTTGGCGGGGGAGAGAAGGGAGGGAGAGAGGTGAAGGGTGAGAAGGGAGATTAGAACACTGGACGTTTTAGCCACTAATTTACTGAGGCCTCAAATGCAACACATCCTCCCTGGTTCAAATTGTTTTATTATTATTATTATTATAACCACAAATGATCACAAAAAAGTCTTTTGACTTTGAAAATGTCTTTTGACACACCCTACACCCTGTGACACCCAACATTTGGTGTTTGCACTGAACAGCAATAAGCTTTTTCCTGCAAAGATGCATCACTCTAATGAATGAGAATTATTTTGCTTACTATAAATAATGACCATTTGTTTCGATTAATATTATTATCTAAGGTCTAAAGCAGACCACTTGTCATTTGCTATTTCTCTGCCTTTCATCATTGTTTTTTTGGTCCAATCTTTCTCCACCCCTGTAGCCTTTCTACATCCTGATTTTCTGTGTCCTTCTACGTTCTCACCATCTTTGACCCTCCCTTCTCCCCTCGACGCCTCTGTTCTCCCCGTGGGCCTTTTCTGAATAATTTGTGAATAATCTGTTCCCCACTTGTCTTCATGCACAGCGGCCGGTTTGTGCAAAACCCGTCCCACAGACATCGTGTTTATCGTCGACAGCAGTCGGAGCGTTCGCCCTTCAGAGTTTGAGCAGGTCAAGGTCTTCCTGGCTAAAGTCATCGAGGGACTGAATGTCGGACCCAACGCTACTCGCGTGGGAGTCGTCAACTACGCCAGCCGCGTCAAGAACGAGGTACGGGCCTCCGCCAGCCGCCACCGCCGCCGAATGGTTCTTTTATTAGTTTGTCAAAGTATTTGATGTTACCGACCTCGCTGTCGTGCAACCGCAGGTGTCTCTGAAGACACACCGCACCAAAGCCGGACTGATTAAGGCGGTGACCAAGATCGAGCCCCTGTCCACTGGAACAATGACGGGTCTGTCCATCCAGTTTGCCATGAATGTGGCCTTCAGTGAGAGCGAGGGCGCTCGTGTCAAATCTCCTGACATTAGCAAGGTCAGACACACACACATGCATTCACACCAAGTCATCCAAGGTATTTTTTTTTAATCTAACTTCTCTCCCCATCCTTTGCAGGTCGCCATAATTGTGACAGACGGGCGTCCCCAGGACAACGTGAAGGAAGTGGCCCAACGTGCACGGGACGCCGGCATTGAGCTTTTTGCCATCGGCGTGGGTCGCGTGGACATGAGCACCCTGAAGCAGATGGCCAGCGATCCTCTGGACGACCACGTGGACTACGTGGAGAGCTACAGCAGCATCGAGAAGCTCACCAAGAAGTTCCAGGAGGCCTTCTGTGGTAAGAGGGGAGGAGGATGAGGGAAGAGGAGGAGGGAGAGGAAGCATGAAGGATAAAGGGTTTGTTGTTAAAGTGAGAGCGACAGGTGCAGTAAACTGTGATCAGTCTTTAGTGATGGAAATAGGCAGAGATGGTGGAGAACAATCCCTGCTGGGGTGGGGTCATCATCATGATCCTTCATCCCGGTGGAGAGAACTGAGGGTAAGGTGTCAGAGCTGGCGTCCCTTCATTCCTACATGCTGCTTCTCTGCTCTCCCTCAACAAGGCGACAGTTCCTTCATCCAACCCTCCAAACTCATTAAACACTCCGAGGTCACATGTCACATGGGGCAGGAACAACCTGTAGGAACGAAGTTCGCTCCTGTTCTTCAGTCAACGCTAACATAACCGAGAGGCGAGGCTGATCTCTTTGTAATTTACCGATCCATTAGTGACAATCATCAAACGTTTAACGAGCATCGCCCCGTCGGCTCTCCCGCTCTGCGTGCCGCTCACTTTGCAGATCGCTGCAGATGTTTCATCCAAGGGCAGCGCTGCATGATCACAGTGCTGGGCTGTTATTGGACGAGCCTGTGCCTCTCATCTTGTTTATTTAGGGCTGGTCCAATCTTCTCCACCTGTTTGTTTTAAGGATCCACTGGAGTCACGCTTCGTCCACACGAACATTCAAAACTGTTGGCCGCAGGTCACAGTGGATCATTAAAAATAGTTTTTTTTTTCAAACTGACATAGTTTCATTTCTTCCTCTAAACCCCAACCCCGCCCCCTCCCCCCCCCACCCTCCTGTGTGTGTGTGTGTGTGTGTGTGTGTGTGTACCTCAACATATATTTGACTGTGTGTACGTGTGTTATGCACGCACACACACACACGCACGCACACAGACACAGTGTCAGACCTGTGTGCCACTGGGGATCATGACTGTGAGCAGGTATGCATCAGCTCCCCTGGATCATACAAGTGTGCCTGCAAAGATGGCTTTACCCTCATGGACAATGGTCGCAGCTGCAGTGGTGAGTGTGTGTTTGTTTGTTAGTGTATGTGTGTATGTGCGTGTGTAAAGGCTTTCATCCAAGCACAGCAATTGCGCTGCCAGAGTAACGTGCCCTTTTGTGTGTCTGACGTCGTCAGCCTGCAGCAACTCAGCGACTGATGTGGTGTTCCTGATCGATGGCTCCAAGAGCGTGCGTCCGGAGAACTTTGAGCTGGTCAAGAAGTGGATCAACCAGATCATTGACAAACTGGACGTTTCTGAAAGCAAGGCTCACGTTGGACTGGTCCAGTACTCCAGCTCAGTCAGACAGGCACGTGTCCACCATTTCAGTGTCCACCCAATATCCCCCCCCCCCCCCCTTCCCTCTCGTCCTGCCGTGAAAGTCACGCCTCCGTATCCCTTCCGCAGGAGTTTCCCCTCAGCCGCTTCAACAACAAGAAGGACCTGAAGGAGGCCGTGAAGAAGATGGCCTACATGGAGAGGGGAACCATGACAGGTCAGGCTCTGCGCTACCTGACGGACAACAGCTTTGCCGCCGGTCAGGGCGCTCGGCCTGGAGTCGCCAAGGTGGGCATCGTCTTCACTGACGGACGCAGCCAGGACTACATTGGAGATGCCGCCAAGAAGGCCAAGGAGCACGGTGAGGAAGGAAGGATCACTTCCTTCACACGCGTGTGTAGTGTAAGTAGATACAATCCAAGCCCTACTTTTACATGTCTCTATGTTGCAGGTTTCAAAATGTACGCCGTCGGAGTTGGCAACGCGGTGGAGGCTGAGCTGAAAGAGATCGCCTCTGAGCCGACTGGAGAGCACTATTTCTACACCGCTGACTTCAAAGCTATGACCCAGATTGCCAAGAAGCTGCAGATTAACATCTGTCAAGGTCACACAGGAAGATTAAATACAAACATACACTTACAAACACGTCTCACACACTTGTATGATAACCCAGAACTGCTTTGTGTTCCTACAGAGGACGACCCTTGTGAATGTGACTCCCTCGTAAAGTTCCAAAAGAAAGTAGAAGACGCCCTACAGGCACTGACAAAAAAATATATCCTTTACAATGGATGAGATGGCGAGAAAGGAATGTTTGGAGGGGGGTATTATGTTATAATTTGTGTCCTCAGTGTTGCTGTCCTTGACAAAATCTTACTAGACAGTATGTCGAAGAGAATCGCCTTGCTGGAGAACAAAATTGTTTGAGGACTCACATCCCTCTTCTTCCTACACGTGCACAACCCCCCCACGTACACACAAACACACAGACAAACACCTTTTACTTCCTGTAAAATACAGAGCAGGAACCCGGGTGAGTGCGGACCCTAACCTGCGCTTCTATCCCGAGCTCTCCCACACCACCTCTACCCCCACCTCTCCGTGTTACCTCTTCCCCCCTCGGTTCTCCTGGGACACGAAGCGCCGGTCGCCATGGGGACCACGCCTTTGTGTGTGCTCCGGAGGTCATGCTCCATAACCAGCCTGTGTGTTTGTTAATAAAAGTCTTCCCTCATAGGGAAACAGTGACGGTACACTGAAGGGTTTTTCTTTTCATCTGCCCCAATGTTTTCCCAAACTGCATTGAGTCTGTGTGTTTTCATGTCCAACGGAGCAGCGTATCACCCTCCCGTTTGTCTGTCTCTATCTTTTCTCCCAGCCCCTCACACATCTCACAGCATATATGGTATATTATATATATATATATATATATATATATATATACATACATACATACAGGTAAATTAATATAAGAAATGGCTGTTTTTTATTTTCCTAAATAAAGGTGATTCAGGAAGTACATAATATAAGTTGTGAAACTATTGTATGGAATTCTTACTTTTAAACAGTCTTAGTTGTTTCAATATGAATAAGTATAAAGATATTTTATACAAAATATTTTATAAAAATATTTTATACTTATTCATAAGTAAAAAATATGTTTGACTCCAAGGGGATCATAGGTGTTCCTAGCAAATTGATGGATTGTTTAAAATTAACAATCAAAGATTTTCATAACAGCAGTCCTTTTTTCTTATAACTTTATTGTGATTATGAAGTCTTTTGGGAGCATTCAAATTATTCCCAGATGGCAGTGATCAGGACCAAATCAAGTGGGGTCCAAACACAAGAGGGGATTTGTGGGGTTCCCAGTCAATAAAACGCAAACAGCAAATGTTGCTGCTTTTCACAATTTAATTTTATAAAATGAAGGATAGAACAAATGTATCGCTCTGGTAAGTGTGATGATTTTGGCTCGTCACCTGTGTTGACATGTTAGAGACTGTACAGTTAATTGATTCATAAATCGATGAATCGATGGCCAATACTACAGTTTTTGCTTCAGTAAGTCTTTTTTGGATGTGAACGCGCAATATGTTTTATATTTTATTAGTATTTGATCATATATACTATTTAAAAATGTTAGAAGTTTAACTGAAAGTTAGTGACTGAGACGTATTTCTGCACCCTGAGGTGCAGCGAATGGTTTTCCCGACGTCACAATGACGTCACACAAACGAAGACAAACTCTACAACTCCAAACAGCTGAACGAAACTAACGAGTGAAACCCGCAGTTGTTTTCTTAATGTGTTTCATGACAGCTTATTTTTTGGAATCTTCGGGAGTCAAGTCCAAAAAATAAAATAAAAAAAGATCTAACTAATTAGACGTGCTGTTATCAGTTTGACAGCCCGCAGCATCTGCTAACAGCAGCTAGGCTAACCGGCGAGCTAACAGCGGCAGACCGTTGGGACGGTCAGGTGAGCCGGGTTGGAGCGAAAGGATTCTGCCTCTTATGGGGGAGCTCTGAAGAAGGCCGGGCGACTTTAAATAATTAGGGCGGAACAGATGATTGCCCTAACGACGGACACATAGAGTATCCGGCATTTAAGGGACTTTCCGTCAAGCTAACGTCAACTGCGCGGTCGGCTCACACTTCAGCTAACTGCAACTAGCAGCAGCTCAGCCTCGGCTCGTCAAAGGACCACTTTAGAGGTGTTTTTTTGGGGGGGTGCGGTGTGTGGGGGGACCAACGGATGCCAAGCAGTCCCGTGGCGAGCCGTACCTGCCCGGCTAACGAAGACAACGCACCGGCTCGAGCGTTCGGCTCCGCCATGTCACGTCGACACCGGTACGAGTCGGAGTCCGACGTCGGCCCGACCGTTAAAAGCTTAGCGCTGTGCAGCCGGGACGAGGCGGAGCGAGCGGCGTCCCTGGAGGAGCTCAGCCGGCGGGTTCTGGCTTGTTTGGGAGCGGGCCGGCCCGGTTCGATGCAGCTGAGTAAACCGACGCTCTTACATCTGCTTCTGCTGTCTCGGTCGTGTCCACTGGAGGAGGTCCGAGAGAGAGCGACCGAGCTGCTGCGCACCGCACAGGTAACGCTGGGTCAGTGTGTCACGGTGCTTCTTCCTAACGCCAACTAGTTTATATTCTTAGAACCAATCGGTCATAACATTTACAGAATATGCGAGTGATTGATTTGATTGATTGACTGACAGAGGCGATAACGTCGAAGTTATCGGCTGCTGACCGCTTTCTAGCAGATTGCTTAGGGTTTCATCAGACGTTGGACCGTGCGAGGTGATGACGCAAGACTTTGCTTCGCTGCGCACAAACAAGCAGGCCGGACACGCCTCCTCCGGCCCCTCGGGCCCCGAAAAACGAGCGCACCCTCACGAGCCTTTCCACAGATCAGCGCTCGTTTTAGGAAAAACAGTCCAGCTGCGTTGAGCGCGTTTTCAATTCATGTGTCGCCTCGAGGGGGAGATAACAAGCGGTGACTGTTTTTTCTTTCTTTCTTCTGATTGTGAGTTGAATAAGTGGTTTTGTTAAATACATAGGCTGTGATCTTTGAAACGGGATCCAGTTACAGCACAGCTGCTGCAGCGTAAGGAAGGTCTAGTCCAGGTTAAATAGCATGTTTTAAAAGTTGTAAATGAACCGGTTTCCTTACGGTTTCTTTTTTTTCGGTTGTTTCTTTCATTGCTTGCCTTAAAACGTAAATAAAAAATGTATTGTATAACATTTTAATGTGTAAAGCTCAAACCAGCAATCAACACACAATGAAACATGTTCAGATAATTGACTTCTTGTGAGTCCGTTTTATTGAGCAGGAAATCCATAATTCCAGTTTCTCAATCAAGAAATGTTGCGTTTCTTTGTCTTGCGTCATTGTGAACTCTATCTTTACGTCTTGGACTCTTTCATCAGACAACCTATATTTGGATGACGTTGTCCAACAGGCATTCTGTTCTATTGCCAGTTATTATTTTACTGTGTCACTCACCTGCGCGTCTTCCTCCGTAGGAACAAGGAGTCGAAGTACCTCGGGCGCTGTCATCAGGCCCAAGTGTCTTTATTCCTGCAAAGGAGGTGTGTACGTCCCATTGTTAAATATGTTGGCTTTTCTTTTCTGTGAACACTTTCTAAAAGGCTGTGATGTCACAAGCAATTGCAATGTTCTTTCCAACAGTAAATCCAATGAGGAATGGGGTAGTTTTATAATGTTGATCCCCATTTTCTCTTTTATTAGCCAAATCATTTTCATTGATTATGTATTTTCGCCACTCAATGTCAGGGTGGCGCCTGCTACCAGCCCAGTTAAAGACAATGGAGGCCTTTAACTGGGCTGGTAGCAGGCTGCCATCGTGACCATAATGAACAGTCAAATCAGTTTGAGAATAAGAAGTGCAGATGGTGACTCTGCCTCAGCTCCTGTTGCTTCATGTCCTCAAGTGAAGCAATACTACACATATGTAAGAGAAGTTGATTACACATTGAAATTTATTTTGTGAGTCATTGAAAGCTTTCCGCTGGGGAAAGTGGAAATGTTTCATCAGCTTTTTAACTCACTGTTTTGTTTACAGCTGTAAGAGAATCATTTAAAAATAGATCCGTGCCGATTTTGTCCTCAAGCATTTTTTGAATATGAAGTGAGTTTAGCTGTCAGGGAATTTTGAACACAATATGTTGTCTTTCTCTTTCAGATGTTGAAAGAAGTTGCCGACCAGGACGTCCTCACTGAGTCTTTCCTTTCAACGGGCCGCGTGGACCACATCACCATGGTGATGGCAATGCACCCTGCCTACCTGAGCTGCTTCCTCAGGACCCAACATGCTTTGTTGGAGATGGACGGCCCCTTGCCCCATGACTGGAGACATTACATCGCTGTTATGGTGAGAGAAGGTCGTTTTTTCTCTCTGAAGACATTAGGGAGGACCTTCCTGTATGTTTCTTCCAAACGGGTGGAACGCCTTAGCCCAGTGTGTAGTGTCGTTCAGTCAGTAAACTGTTTTAATTTGCCGTAGATTAGACATTAATGGACCAGGTAAATGCAAATAAATTCAAACTTAAAGCGGATGATATCAAAGTACCTTATTTTCTTTTTGAGACCACCTCATGTGTACCAAATTGTTTTTATGATTAAATTATTTTATGTCGGTTAAACGCATATACACTAAATCCATGTCCAGATAAACCATTTCAGTGAACTAATATTACCACACTTCCAACAGAACCTGTCCAATGACATGGTAGAAACAGCCGCAGCTAATAATATTAATGGAGTTATTTTTTTGCGTTGTGTCAGCCAGTCACCGTAGCAACAGTCTGACTCACAGGATGTGGACCGGGTACGTTTTTCTCCTTCTGTAGCATGTTAATGTGTGCAGCGGCCCTACGGCAGCAAACACTTGACAAAAATATTCATTATTTCTACCTGTAATCCTTGATGAACCATAACCAAACATCTGCACCTATTGTTGGTTATCAGCGAAAATAACGTTTAAAGAGTAAAAATGTACAAAATGTTTCACAACTTGAACCAGATGTTTAAATGTGATGTCATTTTGATGCTTAACTGTGTCACAGGTTACGGCCTTGTTTAAGTGAACTGTTACACAAAAAAGCAAAGCTTGAAAGCAACATAAACATAAAAATGATTTTCTGAATCTACACATGTGGATAAATTAAATGATCTTTTCTGAAAAACGGAGTTCACTCCCTGCTTGAGGGTTTTTTCCGCTACTGTATCTTCGGGAGTCCCTAAAAGGGTTTGCCAAAGACCGATCCTCTCATAAACATTTAATGATGCTCATCGCTCAGATATTCATCACATTAGCTGGCCTCTCACTTCAGAAATGCTGCGTTGTTGAACTCAAAATGATCTATTTGTAGAGAAATGTAGCTGTGTTGCTTTAACCTCTGAGGCCTTCCAATTTCTGAACAGTTATTATGCGTCATGAAGTTGGTACGGACAGAGCAGGGATTCAGCTCTGCTTTTTAATGGATGGGCCGATTATGCTTCACAGGCCGCGGCTCGGCATCACTGCTCGTACCTGGTGCAGCAGCACAGCGCCGGCTTCCTGGACGCCGGGGGGGAGGAGAGCTGGCTGAGTGGCCTCCAGCACGCCCCCACCAAACTGCGCAGCCTGCAGACACTCAACAAGCTGCTGGCACACAGACCCTGGCTCATCACGCAGCAGCACATCCAGGTCGGAGAGGACACCCACTCGAGCACTCACAAGTTCAATGCTTCTTTATTTCCATGGACATTTCGCAGGCAGGATTCACACAAAACACACAGAATCCTGAAAAGGAGGTAGTTTGCTAAGTGATTCAGTTCAGTGTTTTTTAAATTTTTTATATAGTACTTGTAATCAAAGCAATCTGTGCATGAGCGATCCGTTTAATAAAACAGCCGTTTATTGTGTGAATGTTACCAGGAACGATGGAAATGTTTTATCACTCATGGCAAGCAACAATACGGACCATTAAGACTAATTCAATGAAACCGTTGTTATACGATAGTAATTTGAGCTAATACATTTGATTTCAGACTGAAATGACTCATTCACTTACTAAAGACATGTGTAATATATCTGAGTATAATGCCACTTTTGGGGCCTTTTCATGCAGATTTCCTTTGTATTTCTTCCCTTTACTTTTGTGTTCATTTTGTTTGAGCAGCCTTGTATTCGGTGTTCATAACTTGATAACAGCAAGAGTCACTCGATGTCACAAAATGTATATGTACGTCGAAACACAAAAATCGTTTGTAAATGCAACTCGTGTCTTTCTGTGGGAAGTCGTGTGTCATCCACTAGTTTCAAGGGGCATCATGTCTAAACTCTCTGTACGGAGATTGGGATGGTTTGATCCAACGCATGAGTGCTTGACATTACCAACGAACCCCTTTTATAGATTACCTCACTAACTCAACATCTGCCTGTCTCCCCTGCAGGAGCTGGTGTGTCCCGGAGCCGAGCCTCGCTGGTCACTGGCTGAACTCATACACGCTGTGATCCTCATGGCTCACGCTCACTCTCTCTGCTCGTTCGGGTGGGGATGCGGCTTAAACCCTGAGCCCGACCACATCGGAGGTTATACTTTCCAACTTCCGTCGCCCAGTCACCTACCTCGAAGCCCGCACAGCCCCCTGGCTCACGAGGATGGAAGGCAAGAGGTGAGCTAAACTGTCGTCTTCTACCACAGGTCTGAGCGCTCTACACTCAACAAGTGATGTTTGATGTTTTTTTTAACAGTAGAAAATTCCGTGACTATTATTAATAGCAGTATCATCTCTTATCCAGTTGGGTGAAGGAGCAATGGAGGTGGAGGTGTTGATGCAGAAGATGGTGGAGCTGCAGCAGCAGGAGGAAGAGTGCACACAGGAGGAGATGGTGACTCGCTTTGAGAGGGAGAGGAGCGAGAGCATACCGACCAGTAAGTAAATACACGCGCCGTTCCTCGCTCACGTTGTTTGACATTTGTTCGCTCACCTCGTCTTCTCCGTTGCTGTTTGTGTAGCTGTCGTGCGAGAAGCACCGCCCGATCTGCTGCTGCGTCTGGTGGAGGATCCAGAGTTCAGATACGAGGACTTTGCCCCCAAAGGAGAGCAGTCCCCTCCCACCATGCGAGCTCAGGTAGTGTGTCTAGGCTTCGGTCTCCATGCGTTCAGGTTCTTAACAGGGGGGAGCACCTTCTTGATAGTTTGTGCTAAGTTCCAGCGACCTGTGTTTGTTGGTGTCTGATGTGTGCAGGACTATTCGTGGGAGGACCACGGCTTCTCTCTGGTCAACAGACTACTGCCAGACATGGGCCAGCTTCTGGATGAAAAATTCCAGGTACCTTTTAACCTTTTGTAGTAATACACTAAAAACACATAAAATAGTATTTGTCACAATCGGCGTTCATTTCACAGAAAAATGGCTCTGCTGTAGACAAAAGTAATTACATTGCATCGTTGCTTTCTACTGTTCGACCGGGTTTTGTGCCACATGAGGAAAGAAAACCAAAAGGCTCCTATCAGACAGAGGCGCTTTAAAAGCCTTAGCAAAGCACTTCGTGACTCTCAAGTGGGGAGCACAACCTAAATAAACTGGAATGTACTGGTTCTTTAGCAATTGGATATGGTTTGATCGCTTACTTTTATTTAAAAAAAAATAGGTTTAAGAGCGTGATGCACAATGTGAAGAAGCTGAAACCAGGAGCTGGAGAAGCCTACATCTTCGCTACTGATTTTTTTCTGTAAAACATTACATGTAATTTAGCTGACGCTTTTATCCAAAGCGACTTACAATAAGTGTATTTCTACCATAAGGATACAAACTCAAAAGAAACAAGAGTGCAATTTCATTAAATAAGCCGAAACAGTCATCTTTCAAGATTACTCTATAATTTCTTAGAAAATGTAGCAGATACAAAGTTGTCTACACCTTTAATAAACTTTATTAAATAAAGTTTAATAAAGTAGAATTTGGTGAAAAACCCTGAGAAGATTGAGGTTGGCGTCCGGGCGACCACATGATGAATTTGGCTGCAGGATGCTGTAGAGTGAGCATCATCAAATGGGCCCAGTGACCGGACTGGACATAAAGAATAAATATGAGTCTTTACAGAGCAGTCTTGACTTAAGACCATGGGTACAGCTTATCCCGTTACCACGGCAACAGTTTCACACAAAAGAGCCACGTGTGCAACAATGGCACCAAGTCCACCAAGTCAGTAAGAGGAAAGAGATCAACAAACGTCTGCTCAAAGTCCTGTCGGGACCTTTTATCTTTTCATTGACTTTATTCCATACAGCCTGGTTTTGTATTCATTGATGTGTATGTCTTCACTTCAAAAGTCTCATTTTATTTATTTCCCATGGCTTGTTTTCATGCAAATTCATGAAATTATTGAGTGCATGTCTGTTAAAAATATTTCAGGGTGTTTTTTTTGTGATTGTTCGTGAAACGATAGCGATCAATTCCTTGTTAAAATTGGGTTTGTCAACTATGAATTTCTTATACAATTTAGATATTATGAGGCTTTTTGGTGAGGTTTTAATGAACTGGACCTCTGAATTGAATACCCATGCTGCATACATTCACTGATCAGATAGCTTGAGCTTATTGTATTGATATTTTAGCTACTTCTTTGCAGGTAGTGAGCAACTTGACCTACCACAGGATGGCGATGCACGAAGGTGTGGACACTCACACTCTGAGAAAAGCTCTCTGGAACTACATCCACTGTCTGTACGGGATACGGTCAGTGCTCTCAGGAATCATGTGCTCAGTTTGAAAGTCAGCTGGTCTCTGCGGTGTCGGTAACTAAGCTTCGTACTTCCGCAGCTACGACGATTATGACTACGGCAGCGTGAACGTGCTGTTGGAGCGCTCTCTGAAGGTCTTTGTTAAAACCATGGCCTGTCATCCCGAGCAGACCACGGCTCGCGTTTACCACGCATTCTGGAGACACTTCAGGCACTCCGAAAAGGTACGAACTCTTTCAAACGCGCACCTGACGCGGCCTCCTCGGCCGCAATCCGTGGATCGTTTGACCTTTTAGCACATCTTCTCTCTTTGATACCTTACTTAGCGAAGAATGGATCGTCTGACTTTTCAAGGTTTCCTCTTTTCTTCCTTTTTTTTTGTTTTTGTTTTTAAATGTCATGTTATGAGAGAAGAAGTTGAATCACAGACGGAACTTAAAATTGTGTCATTTAGTAACACAAAGGTAATTGTTTGTGTTGTTGTTTTGTCTGGCAGGTCCATGCGAACCTGATAGTGATGGAAGCTCGGCTACAGGCAGCCCTTCTTTATACTTTACGAGCCATCACGCACTACATGAGATGAGCCCACTCGCCTGCACACGTTTTTGCAAATGCTGAGCCCGCTGAGACGTACCGCAACCCAATGCTGAACACACACACACACTGTACACTACAGCGAATAGTGTTAATGTTTTGATGCTGCTTTGCACTGGACTGTCTGATATTCAAAACTTGTTACGTATTTGCACTGAAATGAATCAGGTTGTTTCCCCCAGTTGAGCCTCAAGTGTTGATGAGAATATCTTGCACATGTTTCTGTCACACACACACACACACACACACCTCTCATCGTGATCGAAGTGTTTATTTTACTTGAGGTCAATAATCGCCCACAGATACCAGCTGTTCACCACACATTGACTACTTGTGCCTCATTCCTCTGTTTGTAGCATGCAGAGGCTGACATGAAAAAATATAAAATAACGTATTTTTATAAATAATAAAAAGTTACTTTATCAAAATTGAAGCTGTGTCTGCCTCATGTTCTTGCCCCCCCCCCCCCCCTATCAGTCTTTTATTTTTGATTTTAAGACAAACAGTTAAACGTACACACACACACACACACACTAGGCTCTGGAGGTGTGGCAGCGGGAGTTACAACGACTCGCCACAAGAGGGAGACAAACGCCCAAAGAAATGTGTAATGACGCCACAGTCGCCCCCTAACGCGACGTGTTGTAGCGTGACATTACACAGCTGTCCTCTTTCTGGCGTTGTCCTGATAGCGATCGAAAGTAAAAATAACACGAGAGGAACAAACACGCTTGCGGATGTCGCACGTTTCATGTCTTCCCCGTGTAGTTATACACCACATGCGCGAGAGCCGCATCTCGCCATGACAGTGAAAAAGCGCCCAGTTCTGCATCAGCACCAGCTGCTTGTCGGTGTTTATCGTTGTATTTGTGCGGCAAACCGCTCTAATATTACTCAGCTCTTTATTCAGTGTGCTTACAGCTACAGCGTCAAAAGTCAATTGCAAACTGTAAAGTAAGTCCTAATCAACTTTCTCAATCGATGAAGCCTGTCACTTGGTGGACATTCCATCGTTTTTGTGGAGTGGGGTTTTCTTTCTAAGCGGTGTCCCTACACTTTAGACTCCCATCGTGTGCATATTGAACCCGCGCCTTGAAGTGTCCACATGACGCGCGCGCCTCCGTTCCCAGAGGCTTCCGGACGCGCTGCGCGTTCACGTCCCTTCAGTCGCTCGGCGCAGCAGGTCGCGGCTTTCTGTCCGCGCGCGCGCTCTCCTCTGGGCACAAGGATTCCTGCCGGGATAACGACGCAATTCGTGTGTCCGGTACGTCTTCTCCGTGTATGCTATACCTATACCCATGAAACGCACGCGCACCGGTTTTTGGACTTCTGCGGTTAAAGAACCAGTGGTTTTGCTCCGAGGAGACACCGACTGGTACCCTGCGTTTCAAGTGAACTTATGCTTTTTAACTTTTTCACAGTTGTGTCCTCTATGCGCGGAGGGAGTCACCTCAGGGAGAGAGAAAGTCTACTGTAAATGTACCCAAGGTAGGTAAGAAGACGCAAACAGACCCTCTGTCCCTTTTAAAAGTACATCATTCTGTTGGTTTCGGTGCTTTTTGAAATTGGGTAACTTCAGAGTGTTCGTTGTTCCATAAAAGGAAGTTTGGCTGATTTGCCTGCGAGAAGTCAATGAAGCAGCACTAGTTTTACTGGACGGCTACCACAATGATTTAGAAATCAAACAGCCGACATTGCACTAATGGAAGGGTGGAAGTTACCAGAGTTTAGTCACAGGTGCTTCAAAGTGGGATCCTTGCTGTCAGAAACCTGAGGCGTTGGTAGTTGTATATTTCTAATGGTCAAGAATCAACCGGTAACTTATCGTAGGCTCTGGATTTGTGTCTGACTTCAACTAGGAGGCTCAACTGGATGTTTTATGGAAGTGTGCTACTCTATTTGGGGGGGGGTTCTTAAAGTAACTCAGGCCGGAGGTCTTTCGTCCTGACAGTTTATGTAAATCTTGCTCCACAGGCAGAATGTTCCTTAAGAAAATGTGATTTATCTGGCAACCTGTCTGCAGGAACCCCCCCCCCCCTCCTCATCCCCCCCACCCCTGGAGGAAAAGGCAGGGCTGTGTGTTTCCTCAGCACATCCATCTCTCTGAGGTGTTTCTGCGGCTTCTTATTGTTGTCTCATCACGAGAAACAG